GGGGGGCGTTAGGAATATACATTTAGTTTTACCAAACAACCGTAACAGACCAGGTGAAAAGAACACCTGAACTTGATTACATTTCAGCCTGTTGTGCCCATTTCCCTTTTGTGTGGTGGGATGTCTTAATTTACACTTTTTTTGCGCGGGACATTTGTATTTTAGTAACTCTCCATGCTTCCTCTTACCCCGTTTTTTCCCCCAAGACCCCCCCCCCTTAGCCCATTTTACTTTGCATTTCCCATCATCGTATTTGTTTCGGCAAACGTGTGTATTTTGATTTCTTGGGCAATTCATAGAAGTCAAGACATTTTTCTCTTACACGTTTTTTTATCGTCCTATCTGCAAGTGGTTCTTATGAGTATTGACACACTTGACACACAGCCGCAGGGGAGGGGGTGGCAGCCGTACGAGTGTATAATGGTCTGTGTTGAATACCCCCGAGACTAACGCCTGTGCCTAATTACACCAGCCAGGTCCTTGTCCTGCGGCTCCTTCCCTCCCCTCCATCAAGCCTCAGATCAATGCGTGTATTGAACGAATCCGCCCGTTGATCCCTAGCCGATTGCTCGTCCCTGCCCGGCTTCCCTGCTGATGCCGCCTTATTGATTCCCAATAACTTACCCTTACTATAGCCCGGACAGCCAAAGAAGGCTGATCAAATGCATATTGGAGAGTGGATCTCTCATCTTGTTCCATTCATGCGCAATCTGTGCAAGTTTGGGTGCCAAGCCGGACCCGCGTGTATTCTCCCCGTCCTTGGTGCTGAAACATAGTGATTACATTGGACCAGACGCAACGCCTCGTACATGGAAAGTAGTTCAATCTAGGTCTCTTTATATAAAAAGAATCTGCTTCTTTAAGCTGATTCCATGCGCTTCTGTGTACAGGCATGAGATGCTTAAGGCTTTCAGGTATGCTCTCTTGACCCTGTAGTATAGTGAGCGGGAACAATAAAAGATTGTACGGCTCGAGGGAGTGTCACCGTACCGAGCAGTGTGTCGCGGTGGGAGCGGGTCTCCGTCCCTTATGTGCCCGCCCGTTCTGGTTATTTCCCTCGGGGTAGGGTTGACATTTTGGCCTTAGCATTTTGAAGGATTGAAAGTGAACGTCTATTTCCGCCGATTTCCCCCCTGGGGAGAGATAGGCACTGCTGGAGGATAGACCCTGACATCTACACTTATTACAAGACGCCAAGGACTTGTTGGCAAGGTAGCACATTCCCATCAAACGTTACACGTACAACGGTAAAGACGTGTGCAGATTTTGTTTTATAAGTCATTCGACCCAAGGAAAGGATTGAAATAAAGAAGAGAGCGATAACAAAAGGCTAACGCTAAGACTACGGGTGACCTTTTCGTCTCATTTGCTGCAAATTTGCAGCAAATGTGACTAGCACAAAATGAGAGGCATGGCTTCCTGACACCGTGACTTCCGCTGTCTCACGGCGATCCCATAGCGCGCACAATCCATTGCATAAGGGAAGAGGTCTATGAGAATTCTTTGAGCTCAGTGCATGGCCAATTTATGTCGGTCAACAGCGCGCCGTTGATTCGTAGCGTAATGGAAGGCTAATCATCGGGGGACGCGATCCCAGGGTTGATCTCGGCTTGGCATTTTCGGCTGCATTTGTCTCTGGCGAGTCGAGTGATACATGCCCGTTAGGCTTCCGAATTAACCGGCGAGCTGGGGGACATCCGAGTCATCAGATACCGATGTCTATTAGAACCTTTCCCCTGCCCTGCGCTGGAACGCGCAGAGATCTCAATAAGTGGAGGTAATAAAATCAGCAAGAGCGCCAAGTGAGGAAGGGGGCCGAAATACGTGCGTCAAAGAGTCACGTCAGGTGGCTGGCTAGGGCGTGAAGCTCGCGGCGTGGAGCTGACTTGTGCGGACGGCAGCACTCGACCTGTTCGCGCCTGACGGGCGGGTACGTCGAGACAGAAGAGTATTGCTCACACTGTAATAAACTAAGAAATATTGATATCAGTATAGGCGTGGTGGTCGCACAAAATCCAGACAGTTTACATCAGATTTACCAATAGCGTAGGTGCCCTGAATGTGGATCTGTGAAAGGTGAACTTCTCACGAATTTGGGCTTCAGCATTATTACAAACCCGGGAGACTGCTCCTTAGAAGGGCACAATATTGCAGGCGAGTTTCTATCGATGTACGCAGCGATACCCACCCGCTTCAAGGCCAGGCAGCCTGGTGGCTGACCGATGGCCAGAGATCCCAAACCAGTGATAGACGAATAGTCCGGCCACCGCACTAACAATATGTCAACCGGACGGAAGCGATATTGGGCGTAATCAGCCAGAAAATATGTCCGCGTCGATGTCCGAATCAATGAGAAAATTCCGTGCACAGGAGAATGAAAGAGAGAGATTGCGGATTGGAGATCACATTGAATAAGACAAGCGGCCCTTGCCCCCAGCCTGGGCCGTGCTTTACACCGCGGACGATTAAAACCGATAATAAAGTCTGATAACACGGAAAACAGTTATCGATTCGGCCATAAATAAGTGGAAGTGAGGCATATGACAGCCGCTGATGAGTGGCGGACGCCGTCCGTCGGTACGAGGGGAGTCCAGACCTGCATTAGATACGCACCAAATAACGGCGTGCAGTAAAACTCACACTTTTACTTTGATGATGGCAATTTAGTCTATTCTTTGTATGGGAGCGCTGGAAATTTCGATGCTTATAAAACAACCAATATGGGGTACATTACGAGGTGTGTTCTGTAAGGGAATGTCATTAACTCTGTTGGACAACATCTCAGGGTCTAATTTTACCTTGTAAAGCACGAGCCAAAGGGTAGAACCCGAGCAAATATGAAGCGGTGAGGAGAAAATTGAAAACCGACAGGTGATCACGCCGCCCTCGTTTTTCTATTTGTGGAAAGACTTCTTCCCATTGACCTGACTGTTTTCTGCGCATACGGAGTGGTCATTTCCTGGGATCAAGCCCAGAGTTGAAGTAATCCCTCCCGGACACAGATAGCAGCACTTCTGACTCCAAATTACCCTTCAGACCGCTGTCTCCTCTTTGTTATTGAATTCGATTCGCGGGAAATGTGGTGTTGTAAAGAGGAAGCCCACATGATCGATACTTGGGAAGGGGAAAAGGGTATTGTCACCGGTTTGTAGCAAACTTTGTCCTGCCAATTTCGCGGCTTGTTTCGCCTGGGGCTGAATCGCGGCAAGTCGGGGATCATAAGGTCCGAGGGGCGATCGATCGGGCTAAGCCAGCAACTCTCCGGCAGAAATTCAATTTGACTCGCGAGCCCCTCTTGCGTGCGCTCGGCGGTATTAATGGGCCGACTTCTCTGGTCAGGCAATCTCCCCAATAGCGTGGAAGTGGAGTCATTTCCTAACCCTTCATCTTTAATCAGACACACGGCCCGAGGCTTGGCACGTACGGGACGGACGCATTCGCGATGAAGGGCTTAAGTGGACGGAGGGAATGCAGGACCGGCACGAGGATGCTGCGGTACGAGATGGTAGCATACCAATGGACCGGTACATTGTCACTTCTGCACACTGCCCCGCAACTCCCGCATTCCGCAGCAATTTGGAGACCACACGGCACATCTAAACACGCAATCTTCTCTAACGAGTGAACTCTTAAGTCTGTGAAAATCTTCCCCTTGACCCGGACCAGCCATGTTCCCGTGGACGTTGATCCATGCAGGCCTGATTTAGGCTCAACTCGTGATTAGGCAAAGGTCACAGAACCTCAATTTGTCGACAAGAAAGTGGGGATTTGGCGTAGCGGCGCGTTTCACGCTACAGTAACTTGGCTGGGTCTGCGGGGGAAGTGTGCGCGATATAAGATAACTGGTTATCAGCGGCCACTTCCGCAACACACAGTTACTGTCCCATTACTGCTGTATCAAACATTTACGCGGCGAAGTTCGAGCGCGAAATTGAGTTACTCGCACGGCGGAGGATCCCTTTATCTGGCCACAATGGAGTGTAGCCACGCCGCCGACCGCGAGCAATTGATGGAAGTATGAAAGTTTCATTACTCAGCAATTTGGAACGGCCTCAATTTTTAATGACCGAAGGGCGTGTTCCCCCAGAACTCCCCGCATGAGTGTGGGGTCGAGCGTGTGCCATTGTTTCCGAGCTCCGCGCGCCCAGCCTGCGGTCACGTTAGCCTTCTGTTGTCGCCTCGCACCATTCGGTTCGAATCAGCCCGGGAGGACGGCAACAAATAAGTCTGAGGACCGCTGCACCTCCGTCCCCGTGGCTTTGATCCACCCTCAGGTATACAGTTACAACAAATTGCATCGTCTGTCTTGTGCTGCTGTGGATTAGAAGCAGCTGATGCTAGTAAGATACTGAGGCTATCAAGTTCAAACGCGGCGATTCCCGCTCGTCGATGGGCGCGGAAGCTGGCTCTATACGTCTTCATCAGGTCATCGATCCCCCCTACACACACACACCAACCTTCTCTCCCCTGTACCCAATGTCAGACTACAATGACGAGCCACTAGTGTCACGTCATCGAGCTGTAATAAGTCCGCTTCCCGACTACCTGTCTGATCTATATTTCATGGACTACTGAATGACGAGAAGGGGCGGTAATTAGGGTACGTCACACTTCGTCATCACAAACCCAGGCGTGATCCAGCCACACGGCCAATTGGAAACGTGTGCTGTAGAGGTATCTCGGGTCGCTAAGTGACACATGTGCGCCAAGCCTCCGCGGCATTGTTTTGACTTGTATGTAATGCGCAGGTAGACTCCTATTTGAGGTGGTGTAGTGTTCCCCGCGCAGGCAGACGACTCAGTGCGGCCACCAGTCCTCACTACTACTCTGTCTAAGTCATGTTTGTAGCGGGTTCTCCTGACATGGCACGATACAGTTCTCTATCCTCCGTCGGTATGACGGTGGAGACACAGTGGGGTCCTACGATGCTTCCTTCATCAGCTTTTGCTTTTCCAGAATGGGCCTACAAGTCCGAGAGCAGCCCGGGGAGCAGGCAGATCCAGCTCTGGCACTTCATCCTCGAGCTTCTACAGGTAGGCGCCGCCGTCGTCTTTGTCTAGTTCTCTCATAAATTGACATAACACATACCAGCATTAGTCCTTACCACTAGTTTTCCAACATTTCTTGTGCACTGTTTTATTTCTCTTGCAATTCCCCCATCACATTGGAATAATGCTTTACAATCCTCACTTTTCCAGTTCTGTAACTTTTATTTTAACAGTAACGCCACTTCTGTTTTAAAATAATCGTTCACGAAAGACAAACATGCGAGAAAAATACATCACGGAATGTAATTGCCGTTTCCACTAGTACCCAACAATGTATGAAACATATATTTAGTATCCATTGTCTTTTTATCATTTTATTGTCGGCATGCCAGTTACATTTGCTTTGTAAAGGGGGAAATTCTGTGACAATAGGAAACCAGGTTGTGCCCTAAAGCCGTACCTGACTTTGACATATATCATAATTTTAGCTAATTTCCGTGAAAGTGTGTATACCTGGGCTGATATTTCCTGTTAGAATACCACTGTGGTGTTATGTTACCAGCGGCGCTATATGATAGCGTCCATTCTGAGAAGGCTTTAGCGATCCAGGGGAGATTACCTGATAACCTGCTCTGATAGTCCGTAACATGTCGACAAATTTGGAGGACTAATTGAGGTGGAGAAGGACTGGGGAGGAGGTAGAGCTCCTAGGCAGACGGTGACGGGAACCCAGCAGGGTTAATGATGATTATAGAAGAAATCCACCGTACCGATGACTACACATTAACGGGGTAATAACCCTGTCAGGCGGAATACATTCAAATTGACATGCTGAATTTTCACGTACGAAGACGACGCTTCAGCGTTGTCCTTTTCTCACCAAAACGCATCCGTATCAACACTGCTTTTCCTTGTTTTCACAAGCCGTTTATATTCTTGACTAGATTTAGAATCGGTCGTGTTTCCGTGTCAGTTTTAAGTACGAAGTGTATCAAAATTGCATTAAACAAATTGCCCCATACACAATGATGATACAGGCGACAGGTGTGATGTTTCGTGCGGCAGATGGTATGATGGGGTCGTTAGCATTGTCAGAACTGTCATTATCTGGTGTTGTCTTTTTATACCATCCTGTCATCGCTTTGTTGACACAACACGTCCGCATCTGTCTGACGTGAAGGACATCTCTCAATGATAAACTTTTCGTTCGAAAGGGAACGTCTTGGGGAGTGTTGTCTGGACGTGACAGTGGGACATGGTAGATTATGGGACTTGGAAAAGACCCGTGTTTGAAGGACACCTAAAGCTGACAGGTTGTTATGATCTTGTCGCCCCAAGTCTGAGAGTAATTTCTCCCCACTCACATATCAGCACTAAACTGCTGACCCTGGCTCCACACACGGCCCCATAATAAAGGCAAAACTACCAACTCCTGGCCAAACAGATTACTTGCAGTTGGTTTTGTTTTAGTAAGGGCAGTAGCGGCAAATTTCTAGCTCCATTAAGAATCGCCGCTTGACCCCAACTTGTCGGATCGGATCCGGAGTGATGCTGTAGGGGACGTTGTGTCAAACACATCGAGTTACAGGAAAGATTAAAGGCATCGTTTCGCCTCGGGAAAATCACTGACATATGTTTCATTCTGCTCAAACAGGATAAAATGGCACATGTCCATGGATATGTGTTTTTCTAGGAGGCGAACGTATTAGATGAAATCTGAAACTCTCAATTTCTAAGAAAAGGTACGAGTACGAAGGCAACTCCGAACTTCTTAACGTGCCTACTAGGACAGACCATTGGGCAAAAAAACTCTTTTATGTAATATAGATGAGTGTGTAATATATTCTTCGGTTTTCAGTTTGAGTACCAGTAGCTGGTCGTCATCGACCAAGTGGGTGTTGTTTACCTCCTCCATCCGTCCCTAATGATGTTCTTCACCAGAATAGTGGAGGCCGAGCGGACCTGCTGACGCACATACTTCCATGTCTTACACTTGTTTTCCCAAACTCTTTTCAAACCGACCGGAGATGTAGCTCCACATCATCCTGCTTCTGCAGTCACGACGTTCTACAAAATACGTTCTCTAACATAAGATAAGAGGAGGAGGAGTGCACCCACCTTCCCCCACGTTCTTACTAACGAGTCTAATTGCCTGTTATGCCTTCCTTCTCGGCAGAAAGAAGAGTTTCGTGATGTCATCGCCTGGCAAGGTGACTACGGCGAGTTCGTCATCAAAGATCCGGACGAGGTGGCCCGCCTCTGGGGCATGCGCAAATGCAAGCCCCACATGAACTACGACAAGCTGAGCCGGGCGCTCAGGTGAGAAACGCTGAGTTTTACAAACAGAGATGTCGGTGTTTACAGAACAGATATGTAAAACAGTTCCATTGTAGCCAAAGATAATAGGAATAAGTACGACTGTTTATGACGGCACCGCTCTCACTTATTTGCCATATTGCCGTATTAAAAAAACAATGCCAGATTTATATTTACATGTAAGGAGCTTAGCCATTAAAACTCTATTGCTTACAACTAGAATATCTTTACCATTGCAATTATCAAGCGATGTACCGGACCATACAGTATTGATATCAACATCTGTATGTGGGTTTAGATTGACGATCACATCAAAATAGTCACGTCTAAACTGTGGTAGCGAAATAGCAACATGTCCACAGAAAGATAAAGACTATAGTATTGAAAATGTGTGCCACATGTGAGAGAGATTTTTTCTGCAGATATCAAGATCAGTTTTCATTGAAATACGATTTGATTATTTGCTCTGCTCTAAGTCGAGGTATATCATTTTGCGGTGTTACAAGAAAATGCTTCTTTGTTTCTTTACACCGCTTCTTCCACATTCCCTTCCACTAGTGTTTGGACTTGTCATATAGGTTACGCGAATAAATGTCCTTATATTGTGCTAACAGGTTGTGCTGCTACCTTAAACGACAGAGAAAGTGCCATTTTTATGCGGACGTTTCAAGAGAAATGTGGGTTTAAAGGCGTAAAATATACTACCAGAATATGTAGTAAGCGCGCGAAGACAGATAAGGTGAATTCCTTCTATGTATGGACTTTGTACACAACATTCAAACACTGTCTCGCAGTTTGACAAAAACAAGTGGCTTGACGTGCTCTCTAATTGGGTGCCGTCTTCCCACGCATACAGCACCGACGTCGAGAAATGCAAAGCGACAGCTTCCCGCAGACAAAAACAACTTCCTCATATCGCTTAACCACCGTAATGGCCTTCTTTGGAACTTCAAAGTCGCTGCATATTTTCCAATTTCGAACTTAATTTTGCCCTGGCTAATGAAGACAAGGTTCCTAATGAAAGGGTGGCCCCGGGATGCTCTCCGTTATCAGTCAATTTGTCTCAGGAATGTTGTCAGCGATTTGAGTAATAGAGTCTTCTTATGTGACTGCCTAAGGATATTGAAGACTTCTTGACTGATATGTTTTGATACGTGACTCTGATGGAAAGTCTCTTTGTTGCTCTGTTTTCTACAGGTATTATTACAACAAACGAATCTTGCACAAGACCAAAGGCAAGCGCTTCACCTACAAGTTTAACTTCAACAAGTTGATCCTGGTAAACTACCCCGTGCTGGATGTGGACTGCGGGTATTACGGTCCACATTTCCCGACTTGCGAGGCCGCCATGCAGTATCCCCGCCCGATGCCTACTCTCCCGAGCAATGTCATGATGATGGACGGGGCGGCAGCGCCGATCCCCCCGGCGGCTCCACAGGCTGTCCCCGCCCGCAGACCGCGCGGGTCCGTCAGCGACAGCAGCGAGGAGTCCGCTCCCGGAGACCACACTGCAGAAGATGGAGCCGCAGCTCACGCCAGACTGCACTACAACCACACCATGTTGCAGGCACATATGTACGATCGACACCTGCAGATGCAAGAAGCTCAACAGCAGAGCATGTTCCGCCCCAGTCACCGCCCTCCTTGCCTCATTCCAGAACCTCTCCGTCTTGGACCTGCCTCAGATCCCATGGCCTTCCACCAGCTGCCTCGGGACCACGCCTTCCAACCACCTAAGATCCACTCCGAATCGCTGCCATCGACGCCATCGTCGCTGAGCGACTACTCCTCCTCCCCGCAGTGTTCTCCCATGTTCGACACTGCCAGCGGAACTCGCTTCAGCTTCAACTTCAACTTTAATGCAGGGTCACCGTTTGACAGGAAGCCACACCAAGACCTGCGCAGCGCCTTCACGACTCACGTCCGAGTGTCCAGCGTGGATGGAGAGGACAAAGCCAGACTCCAGGAAGTCTCCCCTGGTCGCATCACGATCGACCCGACCAAGGATGGAAGACGCGAGCGATCTCCGGGAAGGATGCCAGGTCTGCTGAGCCCGCCTAGACCGATGGAGAGGGTAAGGTCCAGAAGCCCGCAGAGATTCGTCCCAAAAGTGGTGAAGACAGAGGAAGAAGACGAGAAGTACACGAGGGGAAGTTCCTCCCAGTTCCTCGCAGTGCCTCGACTGCTACCAATGGCCCGACGTCACTCTGTGGACGGCTGCATCACCAGTGAGAACAACGAAGAGGGCGCGAGGGATCGCCGGCAGCGGTGGTCAGTCAGTGACATGCTGCCTGACACCGGCAAGGCAGTCGACCAAGAGGGTGGTCAGAACGACGAGGAGGGGAAAGACAAGTCCATACCGATCAAGCTGCGCTTCAAGAGGAAGTACAGTCAGAGTCAGGAGCAGCCTGAAGGGCAGGACGCCCCCGCCCCGGCAGCAGCAGAGACCGCCCGAGTGGTTCGTCCATGGCTGGATGACGACGAGCGCGTGACGACAGTTCGGCCACGACCCCGCGCCTTCTCAACTCCCGCGGAACTCAGCAACCAAAACTCCAGCGCCAACCAACAGGAGAAACTGACTCCATCGTCAACAGCGCCTTCGGCAGCGTCTTCAATGGGAGATCTTCGACGCGAAGGGTCTCAAGAAGACTCTATTCCACAGGGGGATGCTGCCCGGTCCCGGGCGGACAGACGGAAGAACCCTCACCCTCTCCACGTGCGCGTGAAGGTTGAACAAGAGGAAGAGCCCGCCACACCCTCCAGCCGTAACCTGGCTCACCACGTCCGACACTACCGGCCTCAAATCCTCATCAAGGAAGAACCCGAGGATCTAGACGACGTCTTCGCAAGTGAGTAACTAACGGACTCAAAAGAGACTTTCTGCCCACTGTGGCCACGTTTTGTTTCACCAGAAGTACCTACCTAAGACTGGAAAAGTTCTACTGATAATTATCTGTGAAAGATGTGTAGAAATATGCCGTATTGTGATATAAATGAAAGTATAATGGAGTTGTGTTGATGAGGTAAGAACAATATGTTTTAAAAAATGACAAAAAAATCATTCCATATTTCTGTCTTGGCACCAGATTTGATGTGACTCGTGAGAGAGGCAGAGTGTGTAACACAAATCTAGTCCTGGTTTTGTTTGTTGTTTCTGCATGGAAAGTCGCGGATCAGATCCTGTGTAAGATTGACATGATATGATATACCTGATTAGCTTTAGTTTACTTGGGGCCAAAGATGATGTACCTAGACCAGTGCCTCACGACAATTGTATAACTGTAAAAAGTACACGTGTCTATTGTAATTATTGAGGCAAACTGCAGCAGAATCGCGCCATGTGTATGTTATGAGATGCAAACTGAAATAGTGTCATCAATATACCCTTTGAACTTGTGACGAAAACAAACATGGGCGTTTCCCGCCCTCCCGCAGAGATGTCGTGTCTGGAACAGAAACAGTTATAATGCTCTTACACAATGTCGTAATTGGGCATGATTTATTCATACCAGTTTTTGATTCCCGATGTTTCTACCTGAGCTGATGTAACAGTACAGTTTGACGCCCTCCAGGCATGGTCTTTCTATTTGATGCACGAAGATCAACCGACATGACACGTATCAATTATAGAGAAGGTGATTAGCTAAAAGCCTCTTATGGCGAGTGGGCGTGGAGATATGAACATATACATCCCCGACTGTACATTTGACATATAAGTCTGACCAGCTCTAGCTAAATTCTAACCACCAAAAGAGCCGCTGTACCCAAAGTTGACGAGAGTTGCTTCAGCATTGACCTGCTATTTCAATCCGTGTCGACTGGCGATGAAAACCTGTGCCCTGTATGACGAAGCTGTAAATACGAAATTTTCTCAAACACATTAACGAAAGTGTCCAAAGATGTAGGGAAAGCAGGTAGAAGAAAATTGAGCAGCTTTCTTGCCCGAACCATTTGCAGGACCGTAACCCCGCATTACAGGATCATGTAGTTGACAGGTTCTGACCCTGGTGGCAGGAAAGGACAAAGTCAGACAGAAAGATGGCAACCAGGAAATGGCCTTTTGATCCGACGATAAGCACTTTGCCGCGAAAGGCAGGCCCGTTATGGAGCCATCCCCGTGTTGGTCGGAAATGTTATCCGCCGATGATGTAGCGGTGATGGGGTCGTAATACCAAGACGAGGTCGTAAATGACTAAAATGGTGTACTCGAATGTCCTGAACATTATCCAGTTGCAGAGGGCAACCTATTTGTATGGCTGGTTTATGGTATTTATCTCCAAATGCCCCCGCTCAATACGTAACATTGCATGGTGCCTTTCCACTCTTCACGCCAGTATTTGTACAAAGTTGGAAACATATGAAAATATTACCAAAAATTGAATGTTGTTCTCAAAAAAAGAATTTCTATATGTAGATGTTACTGCAGAGGAATCTTCTCCGTGTTTTAGTTCTCTCTTTTTTTGCATAAGCCTGAATGTCACAGGTACTTTGTTGTATTTACTCCAGAGAAAGGATATTTCTTATATATAAAGTCGTAAGTGTTGGTCAAGGAAGGTTCTTGAAATGTTTTAAAAAACGACGTCGTTTGAAGGACCTTGCTGGATTCTATGACTGTGTAGAAATGACTTGTTTTTGTGGAGACTGTAGCCAACAGAAGTGATGATGAATAGTGAAGTGGACCCGACCATTCGAGCCTTTTTATCAGTTAACAGGGAGGCTAATTGGACCTATCTCATACACGATGCGTACCACAACAATAGACTGTGAATTGTTGTCAGTGTACCTATTGAGTGGTACTCTACTATTGTGACAATTTATTTTTTTTAAAAGGGGGTGATTTACTACCCCCATAGAGGGAAGAATGGTCGCGTCCCAGCGTAAAGTCCCACAATGATTGATGTGAGTCCATGTATGATTCCCTCTCGTGGTCCCTGTGCTTGTCGGTAAAAGTAATGACAAAAGACGGCAAAGTTCGGCTCTATCCATAGGGCGATTGACAATCATGTTGTGTCGTCGACATGCACTTGTAACCAACAGACGCCCGCGTTGTAGATGTATAACAACAACTAGGTCTATTTGCTTTTGTGTTTTATTTATAGAGGGAAGGAAAATATTTGAATGTATACCTTATACTGATGATGACTCCCTCAGGAAGGGAACTGAATACGTGGGTGAAATGTGGGTCAGTGATTTTATCTTTGTTGTGTAGGTTTTGAACATAGATCATTTAACTGATAATTTGTATGTATTTGCCATAATAGAAACCTTGATTACAAAGCTTCCTTGTCGCATGAATTGCTCCTGGGCGATTATTTCAGAACAGTTTCTTTGTCGTTTACCCTATCGGTACCTATACTCTCTACCTCACCACTCTGCTGTTCTAACAAACAGTTCCCACGAGTGACGGGTGCGTGTGCCACCAGTATGGGGAGAAATCGACATTTGCGTTGAAAACTCACAATATTCCGAGCAGATGGTATCATTACAACTGGCCTTGCCCTTATGTAATTGCCCAAATGTTATACTGGACAAAAACGCAGTGCATTAAGATCTGGCCAAAGCAGCAGTACTGTCACAAGCGTGCTGACTCGTGGTGGCAATTTGTCCACACATTTCCCCACAAAGCATGGTTTTCTCGACTCCTTTTGTCGTATGCGGAGGTCTAACTGGTTTAGAGCCCTCTCAGCCGCATTACCTGAATAGTTAGGGATCATTTCAAAGGTTCTGAAATAACACCCATGGAGTATGATTATGCGTCAAGGTTGCTGACTGAAAGAAGCACACGCTCAAAATTCCAGACGATCCCTGTCGTTCTTCAAAATTCACGCTGATTAGTTTCCGGTTAGTGGTCAACAGCAGAACCCATTTTCTGGTATATATATGTATGTATAAGATATATTGCATATATATATTTTTGCCTGTACATGTACAAACCCCTGTGCAATGTTAAAGACACGGAGACATTGACGAGGTTCTGCTTGTTTATTTTCAATAAAATTTGTCCGATAACGTATATTTATTTGGCTCTTGTATTTTTATGTCTTGAGGTCTAATTTTGTGCATGAGTGATAACACTTCATGAGATACCAGGTGTTGGGTAGGACTTTGGAAAAAAGACAAGATCCAGCATCAAGACTTTTACCCTAACATCATGATATTTACCACGCTTACAGAAGGTCAAGATGAAACTAGGACACAGCTAGTACCTGTTAACACATTAGCTAAGAACAAACGACCTCAGCCCGTACCTTACATCCAGCCAGCTTTCCCCCCTGAAGTCAGCCTGAAGCGAAGTTGGGCGAGGGAGTTTTATGTTCCTAACAACAGAACACAGTTGGTCTGACGGGATAGCATAACGAAACAGCCATTTAAGTACTGTTAAATCATCAATAAATTCTTGACCATACGGCCTTCTCAGTCATCATCCAACGGAGTGCTTAAAACATGTTCCGAGTGCCCATCAACTCGATAATTGACTATATAAACAGGAAAAACAACCAAGATAATAAAAAGCAAGTATCAGTTAAATTGACTATATGCACAGGTAAAACAACAATCAAGATAGTAACCCAAAGTTACAGTTTATCGCACAGAGGAGTTACGACAATAACTAGGTAGCCGGGCAGCAGTGACGTCAGTGGGGAGCCACTAGATCTTCACGCCGTGGTCAGAGAGGGGCGAGGTCGAAAAGAAGAAAAATGGGTAAAAGTTCAAACAAAGAGGACATTACATTTCAGAGATGGGCGATTAACCGTTATGGGCACAAGGATGACTAGTTTACCCTGTTTTAACGTTACCTCGTGACCCCTGACATAGTCGTTGGGGCGCCATGGAGAATTCTACTTGGTAATCCGGTCGACCCCAATAGGAAGGAAAAGTTTCACTAAGTTCTTGGTCAAAATATCGATAGACTATTCCTGCTCGAAATACGATTTCTACACCAGGAAAATCGACAATAACTCCATACCTGCCTAGAAAGTGAGCACAGAATATTACTTTACTTTACTTAAATGGAAACTGACAACATATCAATACAAGGGCCAAACAAGGCAGTCGAAACTGGTATCAGATGACCCACAAAGTACATACGTTATACAAACATGAAAAATAAAGAAATCTAACTGTAAAATACAAGACCAGTAATGATGGTAACATCCTTAACTGGTGACAAAATACAATACAATACAATATACACGTAGTACAAACAAATAAATATATGAAAATCATTTCAACCTAGCAGCAAAATCGTGCATGAATGTGTGGATACAAGTTGGAATGGGTGGAAGGATTAGGGTTTCTAAAGATTTCTTAGTGTAAAATCAGGACAAAAGGTGGTTTCTGCAGTGGGTCTTTAATTGTCTGAGTGTGGAGTGGCAGGAAAGGAGTCGGTGATGTGTCTGGGTAGAATATATTCAATGGAATCATCCATACAGCTGACGTCATCTTTAACTTTTGGCCAATCAAAGCAAAGTAAAGTAATGCTGAACACTGCGGGTGGGGAGGGGGGGGGTGACCCACTCACAGCGAAATGATTACTCCTGGTGACGCCACGGGATGTGTCATGTTTGTGTCATATTATCAATATGACTGCAACAAGTTACTAATACCAAGGGATTTGACACTCGTCGTTTTCATATACCGATAGTCTGCACAGCAACCAACATCATGTTTGACTGAACTTAGAGGTAGAGGTGACATCAAGAGAATTTTCCCTTTAATGGTGAATGCTAGGTGAGGATGAATGATTCATGTTATCATTTCCTTCCTGGCACAACAGTTTTATAGCGATACTAATAGCATTCCTGTCAAGGCTTTATCTTAGGTAATGATAACCACCATTAACCCAGCCCACCCATGGTATCTCTGTTATCGTCTGTTATCCTCTTCAACAAACAGGAATGATACTTTCCCCGACCATCTCGATCCGTGTATGAAGGTCATCTGAAAGCCCATTGTTGTTAACGGTCCGACAGAACCGTGTAGTACACCCTAGCGTCAGCTGCGATAGCCACTATCTCGTCTGTAGCACTATCTACTCAAAGGAGTGTACGGTGTAGGAAGCTCACATGTTCATTTTCATCATATATTAATCTTCCAGATAGAAGGGCGATGCTATTGCCATGAATTTCACTGTATTTCTCTACTGCACCGCTTCGTATTTGTGCGTATTTGTATTAGTATGTATGTATTTGCAGGACGACTATTCTTTTTTTTTTGAGCTTTGAGCGCCCAGCTGACCTTAATATGACATTACCCTATTGGAGGCCATAAGATTGTGGGGTTTTATCCGCTCACATCGAGGTGTACTCTTTTGGATTGTCTCTACGTTCATCATGTTGAAGATCAGAAATGTGTCATATTTAATATATATATTGTTTATATGCAGTTGTTATGTAACGTGGGGTCCACTGTGTTAATGGGTCCTCCGTGCCTTCTAACACGGGCAAAGACATCTAATTTTGTGGAATATGTTGTCACACACCGTCAAGAGTAAAAGGTTGGTGAAAGAGGAGCTATTGACGTCAACTTGAGTTTGCAGTGGTCAGTAATTGTAGTCCGAGGAGCCACTCATCAGCCTACAGCGCTAACGGGTGTGCGTACGGGCGTCGGTCTGAGTGTGCATGGGTGACGTCCGGCCGGGGGTCCAACATAGAGCAACTCTGGTTTATAGTGCGTCTGATGGCTGCAGGATTTGTCTTTCATTATTTTCAGAGACTGGAAAATGTCCTCTTATGATGACCTTTTCGTTTAATCAATATCAAGAGAGATTCTTCAACTTGTAAGGTCGGTATTGGAGACTAGCCTGATCATTAAAAGAGTGGCTGGACATTTTTTGTGATCATTGGTTTCATATTCATCAAACTTCATCGCCGCTTCTAGATCTTCTGTCTCCGATTCAAGGTGAAAATTTTTGTCGTCGACTTCGGAAGAGTGTCTGGCCGGCAGGCGTGGCCCCAGAAACAGGTTTGAGACAGGTGTATTTCTAGGACACAGGTGCGTTTCTGGGGGACAGGTGCGTTCCTAGGAGACAGGCGCGTTTCAAGGAGAGAAGGGTATTTCTAGGAGTCATGTGCGTTCCTATGAGACAGGTGCGATCCTATGAGACAGGTGCGTTCCTATGAGACAGGTGCGTTCCTATGAGACAGGTGCATTTCTAGGAGACAGGTGCGTTCCTAGGAGACAGGTGCGTTCCTAGGAGACAGGTGCGTTCCTAGGAGACAGGTGCGGAGATCCTGCCTCCCGCCTTGTCACCTCCATCTCCGGCCACTCAGCTGACTCCTTGATCCGTGAAATACCAGGTTGGAGGGGTCAGCCGGACCTCTTCCCCAAACCCCGTCCATTCCCGCGACCTCTCGCGACCTTTCCCATTCCACCGTCGTCAGCGCTTCCCCCAGCCGCTCACCTTTTCCCGGGGTGCGCTGACTCGGAACGGAGCAATTTGGTCTTGTAACCTTTCCCGTCGTTAACCTTCCAACCTCGGGCATCACTCCGACATATCACGGGCCCCCGAATGTAACATCGTAGCTGCGATAATCGTCCACATCACTCTTGACATATTGCCGTCCCTCCAAATTGAGAAGACCTCCATTTCTCAATGCCATTGATAGATATCGGGAACCTGCCGACATCGGGCATGCTAATTCCGGGGGGTCACGGAGCCAAGAGGGGTCATTTCTGAGAAGACTTCGAGCTGCGAGGCAAATTCCCTTCCTCTTTTCGACACAGTTTATCAGGTAAAAAGTGTGATCGCTTTTGGTCAACATACCCTGTCTGAGGAAAGTTAAGCCAGGTCAAGTGGTCTCTACCATCCTGAAGTCCAAAAATGTACTTGTAAGAAAGGATTTTTCACACTGGTGGGGGTTGCGGCAATGAAGTTTTATTGCAGAAACTCACTTGAATCAAACTTTAATGACTTGGGTGAAAGAACCGTTGAAAGTCCATGGGTGCAGATTTGTGAAGTTGCGTCTGTCACGTCCGACTCTGACACCCTTCATTTTCCTTTCCTTTCCTTTTTACTTCGTGAGAAAGCATGATTGTCGGTTGGTCGGCCACTATCGGAAGAAGCTCGCGCCGTCGCCATCAATTCTTAATAAAGTAATGACGACTTCACTTTGCCGAAGCTGGCTCAAGTTTCCGCGGCTTCCTCAGAAGTCAGGGATAATGGAGTTTGAAGCGATGGAAATATATGAAATTTCGCGTGGCAGAAAGAAGGAAATAATCCCGGCGCGCCTTGTTACATAATTCATTGCGGTGTGAGCTGGCTGGAGAGGCGGAAAGCCCGGTGTTGGGTTCAGCCCTTGTCCGAATCATCGCGTGAGAGATCCTACCTACACTAATGTGATGTCTGGACAAAAATCTTGCCGGTGTCACCGGTCATTAATTAAGTAGCGCCACGCACTTTGTTGGTGATCTTGATACGGCTGATTCGGCCTGTGGCTTGGTAAGGTCATCCTTCCCTCGCAAGGCTTTGAGCTGGACATGAGGTGATCCATCAATAGCGAGTATCCCGCGCCCCGCCTGTCAGACAGGCAGAGTGGCAGACTGGCAGAGAGATGAACAGGGTTGACCTTTCCTCTACATGGAGGTTACCGTGCTGAGATGTAGGTCTGCCTCTCCACCTGAAAACCATCGGAACAAACATTGCGAAGACCTGCTCGGAACAACACTTTCTAGAATGACATTTATCAGATGATATTTGCGGGATTGTAACTAAGTTGTAAGACAAGTCCTTCACCTTTTGTCCCCACACACCCCGCCCACATGCTGGCGACTGGGTGAGTCAGAGCTATATGCGTCACACCATGTTATTCCAGGTGTTCAGGTAATCGGGAATCAGAGTCCACTGACAGATCTCCCATCTTAAAAAAACAGAAGATTCTGACCGAGTGCATGTTAAGTACTTGAAGGAAGTAAGCCCACTTCACAAATATGTCAACATAAGACATAAGTTTTTGAGGGTCCACCATTTGGGACATAAGACAAGTTCTGGTCATCATCATCAAGACAGTGGGT